TTCTTAGAAGTGAGTATGGTGGGACTTGTGCTCTGGACATGTTATCAGGAGGGGTGGGTCCCTGAAGGAAGACATCATACTTGATAATGAAAAAGACAACGACCTTAAAACGAGATAGTGTCACAGTGGTTGGAACAATAGGCTCAAACTTGTCAACGATTGTGAGGATGGCACAGGTTGTTGTTGTTGTTGCTAAGTGCTACCGAGTCAGTTCCAACCCATAATGTCCCTGTGTAGGGTTTCCAAGGGGCAGCTGATGAGCTTGAACTGCTAATCTTGCAGTTCAAATGACTTTGCAGTCTGGCACATTAAGCCACAGCACCACACTAGGACTCTTGGCACAGGTTGGAGCAGTGTTTTATTCTGTTGTACATAGGGTCTCTATGACTCCACAGTTAACAGCAAGAACAACTTTTATCGTCAAAAACAATAATTGCAGTCTGATTGACTACTACAAGAACAAGCAAGTCGTTCGCCTGGGAGCCATCAGGACAAATCAGGTCCCCTTAGGGTAAACCCCCTTCCAAGACTAAGACTCAAGGGGAATACACGAGCAGGCATGTGGTCTTGCTGATGAGCACGTTGGTCACAATGAAGTTGTGAGCTAAGTCCGACCACATTCAATAGACTCCTGTCAACCTAGGTGGAGACATGGTTGGCAGCAGTATGGCAAGACCTAGGGACTCCTGGCTCAGGGACAGGGACATGGCCACAGAGAACTAGAGTGGAGAGTGAAACATCCGGCTGATATGAAGTGAGGGGAGATGCACAAAAGCATCCACACTTGCAGACAGTACCCATTTGTCCTGGCTTCAATGGCTGGATGACCAAAACTCAACTAGAGGAAGAAAGAAGAGGAAAAAATCTGCCACAATCTGATGAACTTGACCTATGCTTGTGGATGTAGTAGCTCAAAAGAGGGAACAAATCTTTACAGCAAGGATCATTCCCACCTCTTCGGTACACAGGGTTGACAGGGATGGACTTAGATATTGGCTACCTAAAAGGTGTGTGTGTTGGGGGGTGGGCGGGACTACAAAGGCACAAAGTGACTGCCTTACAAGCTTTCAAGAGGGAGCCTAGTTTCAGAGGGCACTGGGGAAGATAGGATCTTCACTGAGTGGTTTCCAACCTGTCTGGACCGGTCTGGTGAAAGGAGATGGGGATAAGACTCCTGTGGTTCAATAGTGAATAATTGCTATCAGGACTGATTGTGAGGATTGGAAATGTAAAGGTAGATGTTTTGTAACAAAAGGAGGGGAGTGGTTGGTTTTGCAGTCCAGGAGTGGAGGACCCTGGGACCATCAAAGGAGAAGAGCGGAGTGCGGGACCCTATCCAGAAAAGTAGCAACGCCAGAGATGGCGGCAGAGACGATGATGTGCAGAGATGGAGCAGCTGGGGACTCTGGATTCTGGGAGGGAGAAGGGCTGTGTGTTGAGGGCCAGGGGACAGCCTTATGGGGTGTATACCCTTTGGCTGTTTGATGATGCATGCAGGGAATTGTAATCATTGCAATGCAACAAAGCAAAATAGGATGAATGTAAAGCTAATGTTCTTCTATGTAAACTATCACATAATTCACAATAAAAACTTAAAAAAAAAAAAAGAAGAACAACTTTTAAAGAGCAGATCTCTGGGTCTTGTCTTCCATGGAGCTACTGAGGGATGTAAACCAATGAGTGCTTTAACCACAGCACTACCAGGGTTCCTCTAAGCTACAGGACAAGCAAGGGCAAAGGTGGGTACCAACAAGTACATGAACACATGTTCTGAGCTCACTGACTTTTCTGGAGCTTTTGGGAAACCGATCCTCTGGAGTCCTGATGGGGCGCTGTAGGTCGGTTTGAACAGTAAGTTCGGAAACCCTATCCAGGGGTTGCTGCGAGTCAGAACCGACACGAGGGCACTTAACAACAGCAGCAAGAGTTCATTTCTTCATTCCCGCTGCTAACCTGATTCAGGACAGAATCTTGGAGGCTGTGAGGGGGTCACAGACCAGCAGAGGTGCCAGCGTTATCATCATCCTCAAGCGTCGTCTGTCGAATCGGTTCCACCGCACAGCGAGACCGTATGTACAGTGTTTCCGAGGAGTGGCTGGTAGGTTTGAGTACTTATCCTAAACTGCCTATTTTGTTTGTTGTTGTTAATTGCCGTGGAGTTGATTCCGACCCCATAGCGACCCTGTATAGGGTTTCCCAGGAGCAGCTGGTGAACTTGAAGCTTGAACCACCGATCCTGCTGTTTGCTGCATTAACCCACAGCGCCACACCAGGACTCCAAAGGTTCCTGTTGTTATTGTTAAGTACTGTGGAGTCGGTTCCGATTCATAGTGACCCTGTACAGGGTTTCCGAGGCTGTAAATCTTTATGGGAGCAGAAAGCCTCATCTTTCTCCTGCAGAACGGCTGGTAGTTTCAAACTGAGGACCTTGAGGTTAGCAGCTAAATTCGTAACCACTATGAATCAACGGAGAAAAGATTGAAAAAAGTCAAGGACTTCATTCTTCTTGGATCAACTATCAACACTCACAGAAGCAGTAGTCAAGAAATCAAACGACATATTGCATTAGGCAAATCTGCTGCACAAGACCTTTTTAGTGTTGAAGAGCAAAGATATGTCAGCTTGAGGACTAAGGTGCGCCTGACCCAAGCCATGGTATTTTCAATAGCCTCACATGCATGCGAAAGCTGGACAGTAAATAAGGAAGACCATAAAATAATTGATGCCTTTGAGTTATGGTATTGGAGGAGAATATTGAAAGTGCCATGGGCTGCCAAAAGAACCAATAGAGCCGTTTTGGAAGAAGTGCAGCCAGAGTGCCCCTTGAAGGCCAAGATGGCCAAACTTCGGCTCTCATACTTTGGACATATTGTCAGGAGGGACCAGTAGCTGGAGAAGGATATCATGTTTGGTAAGTTGGAAGGTCTGAGAAAAAGAAGACCCCCAACGAGATGGATTGGCCAAGTGGCAGCATCGATGTATTCAAGTGTGGCAACAATAGTGAGGTTGGCCCAGGATCCGGCAGTGTTTTATTCTGCTGTGCATAGGGTCGCTATGAGTCGGTACTGACTCGATGGCAGCTAACAATAACAACAACAACAACGCTACCAGAGCTCCTATGTTGTTATTTTTAGATGTCATCAAGTCGGTACCGACCCCTTGCGACCCTATGCACAGCAAAATGAAACACTGCCCCATCCTGGGCCAATCTCTCAGTACTGTTGCCACGCTTTCAATGGATGCTGAAAGCTGTTTCTCTTCACTTTGAGTTGTGCCCCATCAGCAAATGAAGGTCCCGCGGGCTTTTCTCCCGGGCTAGAGCTCCTATGGCTGACTCAAATAGGCTGGGCGTAGGGCCTGGTCGATTGGCTGGGCAGTGCTTCAGAATCTGCACAGTGGGGCCTCGCGGATTGCATAGGAGCCCTCCTAGAGGAGCCAGAGGCTTACACTGCTGGCTCCGTAGAGGCTGTAGGGTGGGGTGTATTCGGGTTCTCCGGAAGGTGCCTGGGACTGTGGTCCACTGGTTGCCTGGGGCGGGGCGCCGGGCTCAAGCAGCCACCCCTCACTCCCCCTCCCGCCCTCTCAGGCCTCAGTTTCCCTTCCGCGAGAGGAGGCTTCGTGGTACCGAGGCCTGGGCGGGGAGAGGCGGAGGTGGTAACCCGAGCCGCGGGGCGGGTCTCGCGGTTTCGCGGCCACGTTGGCGGCGCCGACAGACGCGCAGGGTCCCGGAGCCTGCATCATCGCCCAGGGTGTGGCTGCAGCCTATCCCGAGGACACCCCGGGTTTCAGCGGCGCGGTGGCACGGAGGTGAGAGCGGGCGGGAGGGTTCCTGGGGGGGGGGGCGACTCCAGGAAGGCATGCCCCTGGTGACCTGACTGCACAGCCTCCCAGAGCGGACGGCGAAACCGAGGGCGACAGAGGCTGGGTCTCATGCCCTGCCCACCGCTCCGCAAACAAAATAATGCGGAAGGTCGGGCTGTGCCACCGCGCCTCGCATCCTTCGCCGTCGGGACCGAGGTCCTCAGGCAGTGCAGGGGGGCCCCGCGTGCGACCACTGCTTTGACAGACACTGGGGGTCTTCTCTTCCGAGAGGCCTACCCGGACCAGTCCCAGCCCTGCTCGATCCTCTCCGAAAACCCTAGCATGATAGGTTTATTGTTGTTGTTAGGTGCCGTCGAGTCGGTTCCGATTCATAGTGACCCTGTTTCGGAGGAGCGGCTAGTGAGCTTGAACCGCAGACCTTGAGCTTCAAACCGACCTTGCCCCACACTAGGACTCCAGGGTTTTAGGTTTTTTCTTTTCGTTTGTTTATGACCTCAGCTGAAAAAGAGGCTCCCTGAGGGCGGGGAAATTTGTATTCAACAAATACTTCCCAGGGCCACCTTCGCCCTTCACTTCTCTTCCTACAAGCCCTCAGGGAGCGTGGGGGAAACAGCGCTTGTTAAAGTAACACAATCACTTTGGAAGGAACTGAAGACAGTGTGAGGAACTTCTGGGTGGGCCCCTCTATTAACTAGCGTCAATTCCAAATCTTACCCACCTTATAGGACAGGAGTCCTGGGGTGGCGCTGTGGGATAACGCACTGGACCACAAGGTTGGGTCGCAGCTCCTTGGAAACCCTATACAGGGTCGCTATGAGTTGGAACTGACTCATGAGTAGTTAAGAAGAAACAAATCAAGGATCCCAGGTAGCACAGTGGTTAAAGCAGTTGGTGGCTAACCAAAAAGTTGGGATTGGAACCCACCAACCTCTCCCTGTTTCGATAGATTTACAGCCATGCAAATGCTATAGCATACCTATGAGTGTGAGAAATAACTCCTGTGGTCCATCTTCAGGGACTGATGAGATTGCAAGACCTGGCAGACAGATTGTTGATTTAAGTAGGCTGCTCTGGGACTAGGAAGTTTAAATAAAAACATAGCCATTAAGACCTTGGGGAAGCCATTTTGGCTTCTCTGGGGGAAGGGAAAATGGACCTTACCATAGAATTGTATATGGAGAATGGGAACTGGAGGAGGGGCTGTTGGGGGACAAGAATAAAAACCATTTGTGGAGGGCCATGTGGCGTCTGCCCATGTCTACAGGGCTGGGTGCCCAATTTTGCAAAATCGAATAAAGAAAACCTCACTCTAGCTAAAATGAGTACAGATTGGATTACTTGAGCATTTGTATAAACAGTTCCTACATGAATAAGAATAGATTCCACAACAATGGCCTTACAAAATCTTTACAGAAGCAGAACACTGTATCATTCTCTGGTAGAGCGGTTTGTTGTTGTGAAGTGCTGTCGAGTCAGTTCTGACCCATAGCAACCCTGTATAGGATTTCCTAGGAGCGGCTGGTGAGCTTGAACTGCCGATCTTGCAGTTCAAACGGCTTTGCAGTCTGGCGCATTAACCCACAGCGCCACACCAGGACTCCGGTGGAGAGGTTGTTATTGTTGTGTGCCGTGGTGTCGGTTCCAACTCATAGCGACCCTGTACAGGGTTTCCGAGGCTGTAAATCTTTACAGGAGCAGAAAGCCTTATCTTTCTCCCGTGGAACAGCTGATAGTTTCGAACCGCTGACCGTGAGGTTCGCAGCTGAATTCGTAACCACTACGCCACCAGAGATCCTTGGTGGAGAGGTTAGTGGGTTTCAACTACTGAAGTTTTGATTAGCAGCTGAGGGTTTAACTTCAGTGCCACCAAGCTCCTTGCTTTTCTGACCTGGTAACTTAAAGGAAGAGCCCACAAACAAACACGTGACAAGTGCTAGGTAGCGTAGTGGTTACGAATCGGGCTGCGAACCTTAAGGTCAGCGGTTCGAAACTACCAGCTGCTCCGCGGGAGAAAGATGAGGCTTTCTACTCCCGTAAAGATTTACACCCTCGGAAACCCTGTACAGGGTCGCTATGGGTCGGACCCGACTCGATGGCACTTAACAACAACAACAACTTAAAGGAAGAGCCCACAAACAAACACGTGACAAGTGCTAGGGGAAAACCCAGAAAGCTATGTTATTAGGTACCACTGAGTGGGCCCAGTCCTGGACCATGCTCACACTCATTGCTATCTTTGAGCCCCTTGTTTCAGCTATGGTGTTAATTCGTCTCCTTGAGTTGCTCTCTGTTTTGCTGATTTTCCACTTCACCAAGTTGTGTGTGATGTCCTTTCCCAGGGATTTGTTCCTCCTGATCACCTGTCCAAAGTATATGAGATGAAGTCACACCTCCTCACGTCTAAGGAGCATTCTGGCTGTATTTCTTCCAAGACAGATTTGTTCATTCTTCTAGCCAAAAACAAAATGAAACCCACTGACAAAGATTTAATCCTGATGCATAATAGGATAGAGTTGAACTGATCTTTAGGGATTCTGAGACTGTAGATCTTTATGGGAGCAGATAGCTTCATGTTTCTCCAGAGGAGTTACTGGTGAGTTTGAACCACTGACCTGTGGTTAGCAGTCCCAAGACCATGATTCAAAGGCATCAGTTTTTGTTTTAGTGTTCCTATTCATCGTTCTGTTTTCCCAGTTGAGGCAATTAAAAATACTATGGCTCAAGTTAGATGCACCTTAGTCCTCAAAGTGACATCTTTGCATTTTAATAATTTAAAGAGGTCTTTTGCAGCAGATTTTGTACAGTGTGATACATGGCTTGATTTCTTGACTGTTGCTTCCATGGACATTGATTGTGGACCCAAGTTAAATGAAATTCTTGACAACTTCAATCTTTACTCCATTTATCATGATGTCATGTCTTAGTTCAGTTGTAGAATGTTTTCAGTATAATTCACACTGAATGTTTAATGATGAATGATCTTCATCATTAAGTGCTTCAAGCTTTCTTCACTTTCAGCAAGTAAGGTTGTGGCATGGGTGTACCTCAGTTGTTAATGAATCTCTTTCAGTTGTTTGGTTATGTGCCATGGAGTTGGTTCCAACTCATAGCGACCCAGTACAGGGTTTCTGAGGCTGTAAATCGTTACAGGAGCAGAAAGCCTTATCTTTCTCCCATGGAACAGCTGGTAGTTTCGAACTGCTGACCTTGAGGTTTGCAGCCCGATTCGTAAGCACTATGCTGGCCAGGTAAACATTGTCTTCCAAATTTCTAGGCATAGACAAGTGAGCACTTCAAGGTTGCATCTGTCTGCTGAAAACATCCCAGTTGATATTCCATCAAATTTGGAGCTTTGGTTTTTCCCATTGCCCCCATGTACCTTGGACTTCTTCCTTCAGTAACATTGGTTCTTTTTTTTTTTTTTTTGAGAGCTGGGAACCACAGACAGTTTTTTAATGAGAGGAAACAGCTTTTTTAATTCTGCTAGGGTTGTAACTGTGACTGGGAGGCAAAGTGACCTTTGAGGTTAGATTGGAGGAGCTGCCCATTTCCTTCCCTAGTCTCTCTTTCCCAACACTCACACATGCCTACCTTAGCTCTGTTGTCGCTGTTGCCAATATCATTGGTTCTTGATCATATGTCAATATGTCACCTCCTGAAATGGTTGAGTGTCGGCCACCTTATTTTGTTATAGTGATGCTGCCTTCCTTCCATCTTCTTTGATGCTTCCTTCGTCATTCAATATTATGCCCAGAGAATCCTTCAATATTGCAACTTGAGGCTTGAATTCTTTCTTCAGTTTCCTATGTTAGCCTAAGAAATGTTAAGTATGTTCTTTCCTTTTGGGGTTCTCTAACTCCAGGTTTTTGTGCATTTCATTATAAGTAGTCCTTTGAAATGTTCTGTTCAGCTCTTTTATTTAATCACATCATACATTTTCTTGAGCTACTCTCTACATTCCAGGGTGAATTTCAGAGTCTTGTCTCACATCTGTCTTAGTGTTTTCTCTATTTCCTGTCCTTTAAATGACTTTTTGCTTTCTTCATATATGATGTCCTTGATGTCATCTCACAACTCTTCTGTTTAATGTATCAAATCTATTCTTAAGATGATCTCTAAATTTAGGTGGGATATACTCAAGGTTGAAGTACCTGGTGTGGTGCTGAAGGATAAGCATCGTATAACTAACAGCCAGGTCATCATTTCAAACCCACTAGCCACTCCTCGGAAAGCCTATACAGGGTTGCTATGAGTCAAAACGAACTCAGTGGCACTTAACAACAGCAATACCAATATTAAGCTTGTGCTTTGGATCTTGTAGACTTGCTTTAATTTTCTTCAGTTTCCACTTGAACTTTCATATGAGCAATTGATGGTCTGTTCCTTAGTTGGCCCCTGACCTTGTTCTAATGAACAATATTGAGCTTTTCCATGATTTCTTTCCATAGATGCAGTTGATTTGATTACAGTGAATTCCATCTGGCAAGCTCCACATGTATAGTTCTGATGATGTTGGAAAAAAAAAAAAAAAGCAGGACTTCTAACCGGTTCATTGTGCTTCGAACCCTGCTGAGAAACTGCCTTTCACCACAGCTATACTGAATCAGAAAGATGAGGCTTTCTACTCCCGTAAAGATTTACACCCTCGGAAACCCTGTACAGGGTCGCTATGGGTCGGACCCGACTCGATGGCACTTAACAACAACAACATACTGAATCAGAATCTACAATTTAACACGATCCCTAGGTGATCCCCAGGAAAAAAAGTATTTCCAATTAATTGTTGTTGTTAGGTGCCTTCGAGTTGGTGCCGACTCATAGTGACCTTATGCACAGCAGAATAAAACACTGCCGGATCCTGGGCCAACCTCACTATCATTGCCACGCTTGAGCCCATTGATGCTACCACTTTCCCAATCCATCTCGCTGGGGGTCTTCCTCTTTTTCTCTGACCCCCCAATGAGTAGGTTGTTCCAAACAAAAACACTTTACCATCAAGTCAATTCCGACTTCTGTCAACTCCTGGTGTAGCCTCATAGGATCAGCACTGGAGAGCAAACCACAAGGTCAGCAGTTCAAATCTGCCAGCTGCTCCTCAGAAACCCTACATTGGGTTGCTATGAGTTGGAACCAACTCAATGACACTTAACAACAACAATCAACCCTTCACGTAGTACAGAGAAGAACTGCCACATTGGGTTTTCCAAAACTGAAAACCTTCACGGAAGCAGCTTTCTCTTGTGGAGCGGCTGGTGGGTTTGAACTGCTGACCTTGTGGTTAGCAGCTGGTGCTTAACCAATGAAAAGGTCGTTGGTCTTACGAGATTGTATCATGGGATCTCCAGCATCGTTTTTTGTTTTTTTTTTTTTATCACCAAGGCAATATTTTCCAACTACTAATTCTTCCTCTTTGTTTCCAACTTTTGTTGTTGTTGTTGTTGTATGCTGCAGAGTCAGTTCTGACTCATAGCGACCCTACACAGGGTTTCCGAGGCTGTAAATCTTTATGGGAGCAGAAACCCTCATCTTTCTCCCGTGGAACAGCTGGTAGTTTCGAACTGCTGACCTTGAGGTTTGTAGCCCGATTTGTAACCACTTCGCTACCAGAGTTCCTTTCCAACTTTTATATCACTCTTAATTATCACCAGTCATTATCAATGCATCTTGATTGCAGGTTTGATTAATTTCAGAGTGCAGAAGTAGGTAGAAAATCTTCAGTTCCTTCATCTTTGACATTAGCGGTCAGTGTGAAAATTTGAAGACAGGCAGTCACTCGAATACAAATGAGTTTCGTTCCTACATCTGTCTTTAAGTTGTACATAAGTCAGAATAGTTAGGGATAGTTTCTGTCTAATGTCAGTCAGTGTCTTAGTATACGGTATACCTGTCTACGCATAAAAATCATTAAAGGAACACTGCAGCTACACTAAGACATCTTTCTTTTAATAGCGTTGTTGTTAAGTGCCATTGAGTCAGTTCTGACCGATAGTGACCCTGTATAGGGTTTCCCAGAAGCAGCTGGTGGGCTTAAACTGCTGGTCTTTGGTTAGCAGTTTAGTGTTTATCCTACAGCACGACTCCATAAAGCACTGTCTGTATTTCAAATTTTTAATGGAACGGACTTTGTAGGGGGTTGGTTTTTAACGACATGTTGTAGGCATCTTTAAGCATTCCATTTCATTTTGAGAACTTAATTTCCCTCGATTCCGACCTTGTACAGTCCACATTCTGGTTACTAATGGATGTTTACAGCTCTCCTCCTTTTGAGTCATGCTACCTCAGGGTCAGCAGTTCAAAACTACCAGCTGTTCCGCGGGAGACAGATGAGGCTTTCTGGAAACCCTGTACAGGGTCGCTATGAGTCGGAACCAATTCCAGGCATATAACAACAACAACATCAGGAAAGGAAGGTCCCGAAAGCTTTACTCCATTCAAGTTATTACTGTTGATTCTACTTTGAGGAGGCAGCTCTTTATTAGTCATATTTTGAGTGTCTCCCAACAGGAGAGGCTTATCCTCTGACAGTACAATCAGAGAATGGTCCGCTGCAATTCATAACATTTTCACTGGCCAGTTCTTTTAGAAATATATTGCCAGGGCTGCAAACTGACACACATTGTTGTTAATTACGGTTGAGTCATTTCCGACTCATAGCAACCCTGTTTCCAAGGAGTGATTGATTGGTGGGTTTCCAAGGATTGACAGTTGGGTTTGAACCACTGACATTGCATTTACCCGTCCAGTGTTTATACCCTACATGCCGGCTACATCAGGACTCCTAGGGCACTTAAGTCAGAGATCTGTCCCAGCTTCAGTGGGTAGGGAACTGATGGCATGAGCAATGGGATCTAGTTCCTGCCAGTAAATAGCTCGCAGGTGCCTGGATTAAGGAGCAGTGGTGAAGCTTTAGCTGCTAGCTGAAAGGTATGGTGAACCTGACAGCAGGTCTGCAGGAGAAAAGACCTGGCGATCTGCTGCCATAAAGATTGCAGTCTAGGAAACCCTATGGGGGAATACACAACAAAAACCGGTTGGTGCCTGGAAAGGCTGGGGATTGTCCAGGATCAGTGACATTTGCCGGAGGAGGTAGTAGTTTTACTGGGTCCCAAGGGATGTGTGGCACTGTGGGTTAGTTAATGCGCCAGACTGGAAAGCCTTTTGAACTGCAAGGTTGGTTGGTGGTTCAAGCTCACCAGCTGCTCCTTGGAAAACCCTATACAGGGTCGCTATGGGTCAGAACCGACTCAATGGCACTTCACAACAACAACAAAGGATGTGTTGGAGTTCTGCTTTAGGCTGCTTGACTGACTTTGAGAATTTTTTTGCAGGCTCCCCGGGAGGGACCAAAGGCTGAGCTGTGTGGCCAGACAAGAGGCTCCTGCCGATTCTGCTGGTTAGTTGGTCATAGCCACCACCTTTCCCAGAACGTGTGAGGAAATCTGGACATCAAGCTCACGTCTCACAGTTTTCATGAGTAAGGAGAATTAAGTGCCATTTAGGATTCTATAATATGGTGCTGTAGGATAAGCACTGGACTGCTAACCGCAAGTTCAGTGGTTCAAATCCACCAACCATTCCTTGGAAACCCTAGCCAGGGTCACTGTGAGTCAAAACCGACTCAGTGGCACTTAACCACAATGATCCTGTGAACCCTGGTGCTCGGTGGATACAGTTGGTCCTGTTCAGCCATGTTTTGTATTAGAGCCACCATTGTTTACAGAGCAGCTCCCTGTCCAAGCTCACATTATGGAGGAATGAGACTGACCATCTGTCCTGTCCACCCCACAACAATGGCAGGGCGCTGAAGTCTGCCGAGTTTTTCTTACTAAACGGCAAATGTGCCATCTGCGCAGGGGTGTGTGGGAGTGCGGAAAGCCTAGTCGGAGCTGAGGGAACCAACCCCAGGTTAAGGGATGGTATATAAGCACTATGGTGGGTGTTGTGAGTTTGGGGACCCCTATCAGCCTAGCGGGGTGGCCCATTTCTTTGCATTTTAGAAAGCCTGGCCGAGCGTCAGGCTTCATCCCTTTCTCTGAGTCCTGTCTGTCCAGTTTTTGTCTGTTTTGCATTACCCCGCAACAACCCCTGGTGAGAGAAGGTGGGAGAGACCAGTCCATTTCACAGGTCAGAAAGTAAGCGAGTTGGGCAGGGTCTGCTCCACAGCCAGTGTGCTTGTCCCCACAGGGTCACAGGAGCTGCTGTCTTGTCTCATCCGAGGTCACCTCTGTCACCTCACAGTTCTTCAAAGGTCCCCCTGCGGAAGCCATGAAGCTGAACGAGAGAAGTGTGACCCACTATGCACTAAGCGACTCCCCAGCGGACCACACAGGCTTCCTGCGCACATGGGGAGGCCCAGGGACCCTGTCCACTCCCAGTGGCCCTGGCCGAAGATGCTGGTTTGTCCTCAAGGGCAACCTGCTGTTCTCCTTCGAGAGCCGTGAGGGCCGGGCCCCTCTGAGCCTGGTGGTGCTGGAGGGTTGCACTGTGGAGCTGGCTGAGGCTCCAGTGCCTGAAGAGTTTGCTTTCACCATCCGCTTTGATGCCCCTGGTGTGCGGCCATACCTGCTGGCTGCAGATGGACCAGCGGCCCAGGAGGCCTGGGTGAAGGCGTTGTCTCGGGCAAGCTTTGGCTACATGCGCCTGGTGGTGCGTGAGCTGGAGAATCAGTTACGTGATGCCCGCCAGAGCCTAGCCTTGCATCACGGATCATTGTGGAAGGCTGGCGCCAGCCGCTGTAAATCCCAGGCTCCTAACCACTGTTTCCGGGGCCTGGAGAATGGCCACTCTGCCCCCAATGACAGCAATCCTGTGGGCTTGCCTGACTGCAGCAGACCATCAGGGTGGGCCTCAGCTGAGTGGGACTTACAGGGTCCTGCTAACCTCCTCCTAGGCAGGGGACAGAGCCCTGTGTCCCCTGAGACCTCTTGCTTCTCTACCCTACACAACTGGTATGGTCAGGAAATCATGGAGCTGAGGCGGGGCTGGCTGCAGAGGGCCCAGCGGGGCACACTAGAATTGGAGAATAAGAACAGGCCCTGAGCCCAGGACATTGGGGTCTGCCCCTGTCCTGCTGGCCAGGACACCCGGATTGTTTCAGGAGCTGAATGTTCATGCATTTCCAAGGTTACTTTTTGAGAGTTTCTTGCCTTCCTGCATTGTAGGCTTTCTCCAGTTTTCAGATCCATATTGGTGCTAGGAAGAGACTTAGAACTCACTGCTTCCTTCATATTCCTTCATGTCAAAGAGGAATGGTGGTCTCTTGCCTCGGCGCTGACTGCACGCTCTCGGGATATTAATGACATAAAGGAAATGGAAAATATTATGTCACTACCAGCCACTCTGCTTTTCACCTACACACCACACTCTACAGCTACAGTTTCCAATGTGGGGGTGTCATGTGTGCATTTAACTACCACAGGTTGGCTGTAATGTTGGTTTTAGGGACTGGCATGACCAGAGAAACTAGGTTCATTATGTCATGGGGCTTTCTGGGGTCCTGCTTTTCCTGAGAGTGTTAGGAAGATTAGACCTGGGACCTCCATTCTTCAGCCTAGATAAGACCCTTTGGAGAGAGAGAATCTTCAGCCACCAAGAGTTTTAATTTGCTCAGAAAGACCCCCTTCCTCTCTCTCTGGCTGCTCTGTCAGTAGAAGGGGCTGGGCATTGCCTCCTAGAGGGGCCAGTAGCTTTTATATGTCAGAAGAAACCCTTCTGGTACCTGGTGACAGAATGCCTGGTGACCAGCTGCTCTCTCCTGGCTGGGCTCTCACAGAGGTGCCCCTGCATCTTAAAGTGCCACCTGGGAAGTCTTTACAACCCTCTCTCTCTGTCACCCGGGGCTCCTAATTACTACTCCCACCAGTAGTGGGCCGACTGTTTTCTTTTTTGGTTCTTCTGGGAGACAATGTGATTGGACCCAGAGAGCGGAAGCTCAGAGCAGTGTGATGCCCTGAGGGGGAGGGGACGGTGTCAGGAATGGAGCAGAACCTAGTGGGAAGGCCCTTTTTAAATACACACAATCTGCTTCCCTTACTGGTGGCCTTGGGTAGCCTGACCTCATTAAGCTCTAGCAAACCTAGAAGCTGAGACTCAGCACCTTGTTTCAATCCTCATTCCTACCAGGCTGGTTCCCTAGGAGGTGGGGCGACCTTCCCATACGGTCCTGGAGCCCCCTTTGTTAGCTTTGCTTTTGTTACAGTACTTTTTATACGATGAAAACACTAAATAAAATTTTTTTTCATTATTACTCATTTCGATTTCTACCGTCCCGTCCAGAGGCCTCTTGCCAGGACTTGTCTGTGTATCAGAGTACTTCACTCCCGGGAGCTCAGCCTGACATCCCCGCCCACTTGGATGGGGCGGAGTACCGGAGCTCTCTCGTGACGTCACCGCGTAAGGCTGGTGTCTCGTACGACAGGAACTAGGCCCATTGCGCAAGAGTGAGGGCTGGGATTCTCAAGAGCTCGCGAGATTTGGGAGCTCACGGCTGATTTCGAGTGTGCCCCCGGGCGGATCTGTAGGAACCGAGTGCCCGGGCTACGGGCGGAGCGGGACGATGGCGTCCGGTGCAGGTCGCTGGTTGGCTTTGGCCACTGTCCGGTCCGGGGCTCTCCCGAGCGGGCCGAGTTTATGGAAAGGTGGTGATGTGTCCGCCGTACGAGGCAGCTCGGGTCGGAGCCTGGTACCATCGAGGTCAGTCATCGTTACCCGCAGCGGCGCCATTTTGCCCAAACCGGTGAAAGTGAGTGTCTGCCTAGAGGCGGGGCAAAGGGGCTGAGCGTGCTGATTGACAAGAGCAGAGGCCAATCAATCAATCATACGGCAGTTGTAAACTGGAGGGTGGTGGTGGTGGTTAACTGCCATTGAGTTGGTTCCGACCCATAGCGACCCTGAACAGTAGGGGCTGATTTTGACAAGTGAGAGGAAGTGGATTAAAACCCGGTACTGGGCTGCGTTACTGGAGACAAAAAATGGGGAGCGACAACGGAGAAAGGTGGCATTTGGCACCTTTATGGTAGGTTGAGGGGTGGCGTTGTAGGATAAACATTGGACTGCTAACCGCAAGATCGGCACTTCAAACTCACCACTCGCTGCTTGGAAACCCTATACAGGGTCCTTATGTGTCGGAACAGACTAGACTTCATTTAACAACAAACACATAGCCGTGTGATGTCCTGTATCTTTGGAGCCAGTATACACAGATCTCTGCCCCAGCCACTTGAGAGTTGCTGAGATGAAATAATGAGTTGGGAAAGGAATTGTAAATAAAGGACACGTAGGCCTGGTTGTCTGTTTTCCTGAGTTGTGACCTGTTGTTTCACATCATGTGGTTTGCAGCCCTGAGGCGTGTAGGGAAGTATCCTGACTCTTTCTTTACAAATGAAGATTCAAGGTCCGCAGTGAAGAAGCCAGTACCCAGGCTAGCAGCCCCATTAGGTCTCTGGATCTGGATTTTTTTTGCCGTCGTCCTGCTTCCAACTCCAGTGCATGTCCTCCTGGGAATGTGACCACATGCCCTGTAACCACTCCACCCTTGGGTGTTTCTGTGTAAAATGGAAACGGCCTGTGTTTGCTATGTGGGTTTTAAAAGCTAGCCTGGCCTAAGCTGGGTCCATGGACAAATGGTTGCAGGATTATTTACCAGCAGACTCTGGAAGGTGCGGTCGTTCTCTGGAGGTAGCTGCCTTTAACCATTTGTGTTGTTGTTGTTGTTGTTGTTAAGTGCCTTTTTTGTGTGCGTGGTGGAAATTCAGAAAAAGCTGAGCTAGCAGGAAAATCCAGGAGACAAAAAGTTGATATTTTATTACTTTTCTTCCTAGTAGCAGGATGTTTTAGTGTGAAGACATGCCCACTTTTCAAAACACTCCTGTTCTAAAGTTTATTTTTGTTTACAAATATTTGTGAACATTTTATTGTTTTATTGGAAACATTTTTTAACTTTCTGTGAATTGAGTGACCATCAGTTTTACAATCTCCCTGACTGCAGTTCCCTCAGGGTAAACCCCTTAGTCCTTGTTGCCTGTTTCCATTCCTCAGCCTCTCCACACCCTTCTGAGTTCAGCTCTTGGGTAAATGGTGCCTTTTTGATCTTGAATGGTTGGCTGTTCTAAGGTGTGTGTTATTGTTAAGTGCCATCCCATAGCGACCCTGTATAGGGTTTCCAAGGCTGCTGGTGAGTTTGAACCACTGACCTTGTAGTTCAAATGGCTTTGCAGTCTGGTGCATTAACTCACAGCGCCACACCAGGACTCCAAGGTGTGTGTACCTCACTAGTCTTATCTCCCCTATGTTGTTAGTGTTGAAATGCTGTGGAGTCAGTTCTGACTCACAGTGACCCTGTATAGAGTTTCAGAGGAGTGGCTGGTGGTTTGAACTGCTGACCTTGTGGTTAACAGTCCAGTGCTTATCCTATAGCACGACACCAAGACTCCGTATTGTGTGTGAGTGCAAGTCTAGTTTCCCATTCAGCAGTTTTTAGTTTGTGCTGTGACTTTGGTTGTCTGCCCCATTTCCATCCCCTGGTTTCTCTTGCTCCATCTTTTCTTTTGAGCAAATATCACCTGTTGTGGTGGCCTTGGGAAGTGGCTTCCGTTCCAGGGTAAAAGGGTGCCTTAGGGAGATATTGAGGTTCCTCCAGTATCTTATCAGTCCTGTCTTAAGTCTGGTCTTTTTTGTGTGTGAATTTGAGTTTTGTTCAACATTCTCCCATTTTAACTGGGACCTTCTATTGTTTTCCTAGTCTGAGGTCATTAGTGATAGCTGATTACCACCTCAAAAAAAATCAAATTTCTCAGGCACCCCAGAAGCTGTTATTTAACCAATCGTATAGACTTTCTCTTCACTGTACATTTACATCTAGTTAAGTGCCACTGAGTTGGTTCTGACTCATAGCGACCCTGTATAGGGTTTTGAAGGAACAGCTGGTGGGTTTGAGCTGCTGACCTTGTGGTTTGCAGTCCAGTGCTGATCCTACAGAACCACTGTTTGTTGTTGTTGTTGTTATGTGCCGTGGAGTCGGTTCCGGCTCATAGCGACCCTGTACAGGGTTTCCGAGGCTGTAAATCTTTACGGGAGCAGAAAGCCTCATTTTTCTCCCGCGGAACAGCTGGTAGTTTCGAGCTGCTGACCGTCCGTGAGATTAGCAGCTCGATTCATAACCACTACGCTACCAGTTGTTGTTGTAGTGTGCCGTGGAATCGGTTCCGACTCATAGCAACCCTGTACAGGGTTTCCGAGGCTGTAAATCTTTACCGCAGCAGAAAGCCTCATCTTTTTCCCACAGAACAGCTGGTAGTTTCGAACAGCTGGTAGATTCGTAACCACTACGCTACCAGAGGTACCTGTAATTGTCAGGTTATGCCCTCATTTCTAGATACCTAGGAGTCCTGGTGTGGCACTGTGGGCTAATGCGCCAGACTGCAAAAGTCGTTTGAACTGCAAGGTCGGTGGTTCAAGCTCACCAGCTGCTCCTTGGAAACCCGATACAGGGTCACTCTGGGTCGGAATTGACTCGACGGCACTTCACAACAAGAGCGCTTTAGACTTTTCTTTTCGGTATCACTTGGATGGCCTTAAAAACCCTCCCCTTGGTGCCTCTTCATTATTTTTATCTGAATTTAGTCACGGACATTAAAGTCCATTTGCTTTATTATGTCATGGGTCTGGAGTCCACTGTAGGGACTGCCTCTGGAGGGCCAGGCCTTCTCTGTCCCAGCGTGGACCCTGGAACTCTTGGCCATGTTCTAACCCCCTGCAGATGTCCTTTGGCCTTCTCCGGGTGTTCTCCATTGTGATCCCCTTCCTCTATGTCGGGACACTCATTAGCAAGAACTTTGCTGCTCTGCTTGAGGAACACGACATTTTTGTCCCTGAGGATGATGACGATGATGACTGAACAGGTAAGAGTTGCTTTTCCCCTGATGGACCAGGAGTGGGGTGACGAGGCATCTGAAGTGGGATGCAGTTCATCTAAAAGTAGCATGGGGACCCTGGAGACCAGGACTCAGACCCTTAAAGAGTTCATTCATTGGAGGCTAGTATTTTATGTTCTATGTTGGATACAGGGAACCACCTTAAAGTCTTATAAATTCTATGGGGTCTCTGCCAACTTAAAGGTCAGGATCCTAGCCCATTTTTCAGTTGCCCTGATAATATCCTTCTTCTCTCCACCCATACATTTCCTTGACGGTGTAATGTGCTGTACACACCCCCACAAACAACTTGATTTCAGCAGCTCCACATTGACACGTAGAAACTGCAAGTCCTCATCACTGGCAGTCGCGCTTGTCCACAGGCACAGCTCTCCCCCAGCAGCCCGGTGCCTCTCCGCTCAGCCTTCTTGTGCTGACTTCCTGTGTTTAGTACGTGCTGTGCGGCCGCTGCTGGGGTCCCTAGTCACCAGCCAGCCTCGGAGATACTGCGGGTCTGGCTCCAGACCACGGCAGTACAGCAAGTATCACCATAAAGGGAGTCACACAAATGGCTACACTTTACCATAAGATTGTGAGATTGTAAAAGTATTTTGGAAAAAGCTTGAAATCTTGTGAGAATTACCAAAAGGTGAAGCAGATATGAAGTGAGCAGATGCAGTTGGAAAAATATTCCCAGTAGACTTGCCCCATGCAGGGCTGCCACAGAGCTTCCCTTTGTGGAAATGCAGTGTCTGCGAAGCACAATGAAACGAGGTCTGGCTATGCTGAGCAAGGCACTCCTGACTTCTTAGCTTGGCATTCAAGGCTTGCCGTGATCTGGTTTGACCTGTTATTCCATATTCCCAACCACATACCCATTCCCGGGATTCACCATGTCTCCAGCTACCCACATCTTACCTGCCCCGCACGCTGCCACATGGTTCTCCCACTTGGAAGGTGCTTTCCCGCATTCTGTTGTCAGATCACCTGTTCAAGATCTAGCTCAAATGACTGTTATTGATGAAGTCTGTCCTCATGCCTGACTGACCAGTAACTCTCCTGTGACCTCTGCTATTCTGTGCTTTAAAACCTCAAAACTCTACTAGACTGAGCTGCTTTCTGGCAGGAAATGTATGTCCTTGGGGACCCGGTGTCTTGCATGTGGTAGCTACTGAGTCTCTGTGACTGAATAATCACCTGCTCAGACTGCCTCTCTCCCGACATGCTGCAGGACTGCTCCCTGGAGCCCTGGTCAGTGTATGGCTACAGGACTGCTCAGGCGCCCAAGTTCACTGCTGTTCTCCTGTCTTACAGGGCGCGGAGGAAGGACAGAAAGGACAAAAGCCTTTCAGCAGAACTAAGCAATGGTGACTGTCAGCTTCTCCTCCTTCCCTCTCAGCAGAAGGGTCTGGGACAGCCCTCAGCCTCCTTCGCTCCATGAAGCCTCCTGCATGGCTCATGATAGCCCAGGTCCTCAGGCTTGGGGAGCTTCCTGGCGGAATACCATCCACTGAGCACTGGAAAACGAGTGACCCAGTTAAGAATAAACATCAGCTCTGTGCCTGAGTGACCAACTGGTGCTTAGTGTTTCTGTGGCTCCAGTTATCACCATGACAGGCTATAGAGGACAGTTTCTGGTCTCTGCTGTCCTTATCAGCTGAACATCATATGCGCCGGCCACTGATTCAGAGGCCAGCATCTCCAGACCCACAAAATAGGGCCTGTGACCTATTTTCATTATTGATAAAAGCCAAACAGAAATGGTTTCTTTTCCCTCGGTATGGCTGCCTATAGGCGAACTAAAGCCTCCAGCGCCCTGCATGCAGTGACACTGGCTGGTTCTCACACACCAGTCATCTGGAGCTTTGATCATTAGGTTAAAGCTATGTAAGAGAAGTCAGTATTTAGAACAGTTCTCTCCAACCTTGGGTTCTGTAGGTGAAAAGAGAGTAAAGGAGTCCTTAGTGCTGAGAAGTTGGGGACTCGGAGTGATTGCACCTCTAGACCTTGAGTCCCTTTCTCCAGCCCAGGGCCTCACTCCAGCCTTGTTCTGGACTCACCCAAAGCAGACAGAGGTCATTTCTTTAGCCTGGGTCAGCAACCATGTATTCTCCTGTCACTAGACCAGAGTCTGCAACAACAGAAGGGCTATTTCGGTTCTCTCTGTGCACAGAACAGCTGTGTCTCTAACAGGGGGCCTAACTGAGTGGGAAGCGGATTTCATTTTAAGGACGGGTGCTTTTTTGCAATTAGAGGGTCCAGGCCTGAGAGCAGGCCTTTTCCTCATGGCCAGGGAAAAGAGCCCAGCTTGTCAGTTCTGCGGCTGTGCCTCTTAGCGCTGCCCTGCTCCCTCTCTGACAGTGAGAGCTGGCTAATTTTGAATAGTCTGCCCTGACACCAAGCTGTCTAATTCTGGAGACTATAGAAACACAGCTCAATGAACCAAGGCATCCAGTCTCATACCCAGGACGACGGTTTCTGAGCAGATGGCCTCATCTTTTCCTGTTTACCGACATGCATGGCTCTGAGAAAAAGAATCCAATCTCGTTTACAAGAAACAGCACGCTTCAGGAAAAGGGAAAGAACAGGTGGTGTGTATACCAAGACCCCACTTGTTCAGGCAAGAAATGAGGGGCGCTGCAGAAATAGCCTCCCACGGGTTCACAAACGGAATCCGGTCCAGGAATTGACCACCACAGAATGAGTTTATTTGCACTTGGAAACCATGAAATATCACATGCATCTTCCACTGAGTGATTTTATGGGTCGTGGCCAACATAGAACTTAGACAGGAAGTCCTTTGGCCTTGGCGCTTCTGTTTCATGGAAGAACCGCATAACGTGGGTCCGCTGCTTCCACACATGAATCGTTTCCTCCAGTTCCATCTTTCCCTACAAGAGAGGGGAGAAGTCGTAAGCTAGAGTGGCTGAGTGTAAGGAATACAACACTCAAGGCCAGGAATCTGTTCTTGGACATGTAACACACTGTCTAGACCACAGTTTCTGCATCTGGAAAAGGAGGTGATTGGCTGGATGTCTCAGGAATTGACAGTTATCATTGACCTCGGGCTAACTGGCTCCCAAGATGTAAGACTTCCAGGTCTGTGACTGCCTAGCTGACTGGCTTATGCTTGTGCTCAACATGTCTTCTGTTTTTCACTGGTCCACTCAGAAGCCCTCATTGATGCTAACGTGACTACCCCAGGAGATAGACAGCATCAGGCCCAGTTTGGAGTCCAGTGTGTCAGCTGCAAGCTGGCAGCTGATGAAGCAGTAACTTCCAGGCAAGAAATCCTGTAAGAGTTTGAACTTTTCCTCCTTTTATCTTTTAATTTTTTTAAGTGATAAAATGCAAACCCCAGTGGATTTCTATTGAATATCCCTAACCAGGTGATAACCTCTAAGTTTACATTCTCCTTTGAAACACTGAGAAACACCCGCTGAACCCCTAGTTTTGTGTGTGTGTGTTTTGTTTTTTTTAACACATTGTAAAAAAAAAAAAACCCCAAAAATGGGAATGCATAGAAGATACTTAACATAATGTGGGGATCACAGTGAATGCTTAAGCTTACTGTTTATATATAAGGGAAAGCATATATTTTCTCATTAACTATTCATTGAGGTTACATTCTCATGAAAAGAGACAGACAAAAAAAAGCTAATGCAATCCCAGAGTGGTAAGTGAGGACGGCACAGAACCACGCAGTGTTTCATTCTGATACCGAGTCATTGGGAGTTGGAACCGACTCAATGGCCCTTAACATCCTAGTTGTTTTTTAATGTGGAGCGAAAATGTTCATCTGGGAAGACAGAGAATTCTGGGACAAGTTGGCTGCATTTCTCCGTTGGTAAGGGAGGGCAGTTACCTTAATGACCAGAAGGTCCACCACCCTGGGGTCTGTGACATGGGCATTCTTCAGGAACATTTCTCGGACTTTGTCCCGTCCCTGTTTCACAGTGATGTCGAGCTGGAATAGGTGCACTGGAGACAGCACGATTCAGGATAGAAGTGACAGGTTAAAACAGGATTTCAAACAGATCCGTCAGTCACTGTTAACTGTACAGGTTGCCCCCTCATTCCATTCTCCAGATACCGGAGACACGGGGCTGCTCCCTCAGGAGTGCACATTTTGGGGACAAGACCACAGTGTTTGAAGAGGCAGCTACCACAGTGTTAGCATTACCTGGGCTGGCCAGCAAAACATGGGTGGCAGGGTTGAAATGAGTGCCAAGTGATGTGGTATGGACTCTACACACCACAGGAACTGGGGGTTGAGGGCGGGCCGAGCGCTTGAACAGGTTGGGAAGGCTTGATGTTCCGTGAAGTTTTGAGATAGAACTCTTCACCAGGTCTTACGTTCTAACAGAGCACTCATACATAAATGAGAAGCTAAGAGCACCAGATGCAGCAATCCCTGAGTTAGGACGTATCTAAATACCACACGTTGACTAAGGACGTCCAATGAGGCAGATGGATGTCCTGACAATTAGGTTTCTGCCCTTTGGGTCCCCTGCCCCTGCCTGTCAGCCTCCAGTGGGTTTGCTGATGACAACAAAAATATGAACAGGGTCTCATGCAGAGAGGATTAAGGACAACGGGGAGAGGAGTGTATGGGGCTGGGTGGCGCAGCTAAGACTTGGGTCAGAACGGGCATCGGGGCTGAGGAGTCCAGTGTGCTGTGGCCTTTCTCTGACGTGTCTGTTCCCCTCATCTACAGATTATCAAACCAGCTCCAAAAACCATGAGGCCATTTAGTGACTGAATTAGTCAATGATAAGATTTGAATCTTTAATTATCCTCATAACTTGGGGACAGCGATAGTAAAAACAGCCACTGAGAAAAGTCACACACCATGTTGCAAACCCAACCAGGGACTAAGCACTAGCAGCAATCCACTGGAACTGGCGCCCTGGTAACTGAGGATCACATGTCCAGAAGTGTGGGGGCCGGCTTGCACAGGCAGCTTGCTGTGCAAAGCTCTTCCCAACTGACATCATTTTGGTACTTTCCCATCGATCGTCCTGGGAGTACTGACACCACAGAACATGGCACACACTACACATCTAGGTTTCCTGTCAGAGCTCAGTATTAAACACCGTGGTAGGTGTATTTATTGGGAATTTCCAGAGAGAGAGAAAAACCATGGTAATAAGACAAAGATACAAAAAACAAATGCATGTGGAAAACCTGGAATTCAGCATCTCACCCCAGGGGCAGGGTGGGGTCTAGAGTTTAGCAGTGACAACTCATGGCAGTGGGCTCCCAGCATGTGCAGGCCTTAATTTATAATCTGATGTACTTTTAAGGGTAAGAACTTGAAAAACTAGTGCTACTGTCAGAAGTTACCTTTCCTGCATTGAAAATTACATTAATACCTGACCTTGGGAGGAAAAAAAAGGAACCTCTGGGCATATATTTGGGAGCCGATAGGGGTGTCAGCCACCACACATCTGTCAGTTTGTCCTACTGTGGTGGCTTGTGAGTTGCTGTGATTCTGGAAACTATGCCACGGGTATTTTAAATATAGCAGGGTCACCCACGGTGGACAGGTTTCAGATAAGCTTCCAGACGAAGACAGACTAGGAAGGAGAGATGAACTATTTCCATATATTTAGTCACTGAAAACCTTATGAATAGCAGAGAAACACTCAAGATATAGTGCCGGAAAATGAGCCCCTCAGGTTGGAAGGCACTCACAATGCAACTGGGAAACAACGTATTGCATTAGGCAAATCTGCTGCACAAGACCTTTTTAAAGTGTTAAAGAGCAAAGATGTCAGCTTGAGGACTAAGGTGCGCCTGACCCAAGCCATGGTATTTTCAGTAACCTCATATGCATGCGAAAGCTGGACAGTGAATAAGGAAGACCATGGAAGAATTGTTGAATATTGAAAGTACCATAGGCTGCCAAAAGAACCAACAGATCGGTGTTGGAAGAAGTATAGCCAGAGTGCTCCTTGGAGCCAGGATGGCCAGACTTCATCTCTCAGACTTCCTGACAAGGAGGGACCAGTCGCTGGAGAAGGATATCGTGTTCGGTAAGGTGGAAAGTCAGAGAAAAAGAAGACCCCAACGAGATGGATTGGGAAACTGACAGCATCAATGGGCTCAAGCGTGGCAACAATTGTGAGGTTGGCCCAGGATTGGGCAGTGTTTCGTTCTGTTGTACACAGGGTTGCTATGAGCTGGTACTGACTTGATGGCACCCAATAACAACAAAGGGATGTCAGCACCTCCAAATTCCTCCTGATCTCTTGAACCAGGTGAATTGTTTCCTCAGGAAAATGTTCATGTGCACAAATGCCCAGCTGGCTTACAATTTCAGGTTACAGGTCCTAGAGAGCACGTCCTGGACAAACACCCTTCATCTAGAACAGGGGTGGGGAATGACCGGTTCGCGAAATCATCTGATCTGGCCTTGCCAAGGCAACTATAGGTCTAGTTATCACATAGTTGTGGTTAAGTGCCGTCGAGTCAGTTCTAACTCACAGCAACCTATATAGGGTTTCCAAGGAGCAGCTGGTAGTATTTGAACGACCGACCTTGTGGTTCACAGTCCAGTGCTTATCCTATAAGGCCACAGCAGGAGTCGTAACTATCACATTGTTGTTAAGTGCCGTTGAGTCGGTTCCGACCCATAGCGACCCCGTACAGGGTTTCCGAGGCTGTAAATCTTTACGGGAGCAAAACGCCTCATCTTTCTCCCGCGGAGCCGCTGGTAGTTTCGAACTGCTGGCCTTAAGGTTCGCAGCCCGATTCGTAACCACTACGCTACCAGAGCTCCTTAACTATCACATTAGGGGTGAATTAGTTGTTTGATTTAATTTTTAAGTTGATAATTTTGTAAGGCCCACAAATGATGTTATAAATTTTGGCAGAAAAAAGGTTCCCTACCCCTGCTGCTCTAGAGCCGGACTCTGCAGCTATGTCCTCAGCTCCCCCTTCCCTCCGAATCCTCCTGCACAAGCCCCTCGACCGGTGAGCAGCGTCGCTAGGAGACAAACAGGCACAGGCTCAGCTCCAGCTTGTGGAATCATCCTTCAGTGGAAATCATGGGCTGTCATGCTTACTTCAACAGCACGGACACTGAGCTGGAACCCCCACACAAGATAAGCAGCCCCCATGCTAGAGTGACATGCAGATTTAGGGAGGTTCTAATCTATGAGTGGGTCTTGAACCTGGGTCTTCAACTGTTTGCTATGATTCATTTTGGAAGCATTCACACCAGGCACAGGGAGATCTTTTGATAGAAGACAGTGTGGTACAAAGGAAAAGAGCCATTGGTCAGGGGCCCAGCAAGCTGGAGAAGGTCTCCCCACCACCACCCTGCCTGGGTGTACAGCCTGTTTCCTCAGCTGAGAAATAAAGTCACCTCTGATCTGACTCCTTTACAGGGACAAGGTGAGACTCAAGTGTCAACCCTGGTAACTAGGGACACCTGAGGGAATGCTGTGAAAAATTCCAGTCCTTTTTTCCATGTCAATTACACTGTGGGTGTCATTTTCTAGTTACAGGCGTGTATTTCTGTCTGGGAAGTCCTGGTGTGGCACTGTAGGATAAGCACTTGTCCACAAGGTTGATTTAAACCGCAAGGTCAGTGGTTCAAACTCACCAGCTGCTCCTTGGAAACCCTATATATGGCCGCAACACACTCAGGGGCACTTAACAACAATAACAACTCCCTGTCTAGACCAGAAAACCCTTAAAGGTAAGGCCGTGTTTTAGTCACTTTCGTATCCCATTAGGCATCTCGTGGAATCCAGTGCGGCACCACAGGATAAGCACTGGGCCGAAAGGTTGGTGGTTCAAAGTCATCAACTGCTCCTTGGAAACAGAGTCGCTATAAGTCAGAACCGACTTCATGGCACTTAATAACAACAGGCATCTAGTACTAACTATCACATAAAATGTGCCCAGGGACGTGGAAATTAAATGACTAAATGGAACTGGATGAATGAACAGGGACAGAAAGTTTCCCGTTATCTCATGACCAGCCAGATACCTGTAACATTTTTCCAAAAGAGGAATCCCACCCAACACATGGTACTCCGCAGACCACAGCGTGACTTGGGAGGAGGGTGGGTGGGAACTGAGAGTCAGGCCTAGAGCTGGACACTCAGGGTCTAACGTGAGACAAGTTGATGTGTCTCAGTTTCCTCATCTGTACGATGGAAGCAATTTGAGTACACCCTGGACCCTAAGTAAGCATATCAATAAAGGCTAGTTATTATCAACACGATCTATGCCTTTATAGCGATCCTTGGTTCAGCTGGAGTCCCAGTGATGGAGAGTAGGAGACCAGAGCAGTCACAGGTCTGACCATCTGACCAGCTACAGCGCTCCACTCCTTCCCAAAGAGCATGGCCCCCACCCCCAGACCGTTTCTTCCCCCTGCCTTCTCTCCTCAGGACCCTTCTGACTCTAGGATTATCTTCCCAACAAAATTTGTGGGAAGGTTCTGGAAGTGGAGGGAATGGTTTAGAAACAGCTGGATGCTGAGTGTTCGGATACCTGGGTTCTATCCCCAATCCGGTCATTGATTTTGACCCTGGGCAAAGCACCTGTCCTGGACCTTGTTTACCCCTGCACTCCAAGCCAACATTATGTTTTAAACAACTGGTTTTGACTACGCCTGCCCCTCACTTTCTACAGTCATCCATCCCATCTATTATTCACCTGTCCCCTGAAGGCATTTGAATTTGCAGTCTCACATTCGCCCATCCCTACTCTGCTGGTGTTAGTGCTATGGAGCCGGTTCTGACTCAGAGCAACCCTGTATAGGGTTTCCGCGGAGCGACTAGTGGGTTTAAACTGCCTACCTTCCATTTTGCAGTCCAATGTTTATCCAACAGCGCCAGCCATACCAAGGAGGTTGCAGTTCTAGGCATCAGTAACCTTAAAAGTCAGCTTCTTGGGTATAGGGACTCGGGGAGCAGACACAGTCCCCAGCCATCAACGAGCTGGGTTTTTTGTAAGAAGGCTCTGGCTAGGGTGGCAGAGCTGCTGCTGCTGTGCCGTGGAGTGGGTGCCGACTCAGTGACCTGCACAGGGTGTCCGAGGCTGTAAAGCTTTACGGGTGCAGCAAGTCTCATCTTTCTCCCATGGAGCAGCTGGTAGTTTTGAACTGCTGACCTTGCAGTTAGCCCAATCTGTAACTTCTCTACCAGCACTCCTTTCCAGCTAGGGTTTGCCCTATAAATAACAGTGGCAGCAGCAAGTGGCAGTGTTTAATAAATACTGAGTGCCCAGGTCCTGTTCTAAGCCCTTTGGCATGTTGTTGTTAAGTGCCACTGAGTCAGTTCTCACTCAGAGTGACCCTGTATAGGCTTTCCATAGCGACTCTGCATAGGTTTCATTGGTGAATTTCAACTGCTGACTGTGGTTCAAACTGACCTTGTGGTCCGGTGCTTTATCCCACAGTGCCACACCAGGACTCCTAGCTCTTTGGCATATTGTTGCTGTTGTTAAGTACTGTGGAGTCGGTTCCGACTCATAGTGACCCTGGACAGGGTTTCCAAGGCTGTAAATCTTTATGGGAGCACAACGCCTCATCTTTCTCCCGCGGAACCACTGGTAGTTTCGAACTGCTGACCTTGCGGTTAGCAGCCCAACTCGTAACCACTATGCTACCAGAGCTCCTTTGGTGTTGTTGTTGTTAGGTGCCATCAAGTCGGCACCGACCCATAGCGACCTTTACGCATAGCACAATGAAACACTGCCTGATCCTGGGCCAACCTCACTACTATTGCCATGCTTGAGTCCACTGATGCTGCCATTTGGCCAATCTACCTCACTGGAGGTCTTCCTCTTTTTTTCTGACTCTCCACCTTACCAAACTTGATATCCTTCTCCAACGAATGAATGGTCCCCCCTGACAATATGACTGAAGTATGAGAGATGAAGTTTGGCCATCCTGGCCTCCAAGGAGCACTCTGGCTGCACTTCTTCCAAAACGGCTCTATTGGTTCTTTTGGCAGCCCATGACACTTTCAATATTCTCCTCCAACAACATAACTCAAAAGCATCAATTCTTCTACAGTCTTCCTGATTCACTGTCCAGCTTTCGCATGCATATGAGGTTATTGAAAACACCATGGCTTGGGTCAGGCGCACCTTAGTCCTCAAGCTGACATCTTTGCTCTTCAACACTTTGAAAAGGTCTTGTGCAGCAGATTTGTCTAATGCAATATGTCGTTTGATTTCTTGGCTGTTGCTTCTGTGAGTGTTGATAGTTGATCCAAGAAGAATGAAGCCCTTGACAACTTCAATCTTTTCTCCGTTGATAAGAATGGTATTTACTGGTCCAGTGGTGAGGATTTTTGTTTTCTTGACATTGAGATGTAATCCATATCGAAGACTGTGCTCTTTGATCTTCACCAGTAAACTTTTTAAGTCCTCTTCACTTTCAGCAAGCAAGGTGTATCATCTGCATATTTCAGGTTGTTAATGAGTCTTCCTCCAATCCTGATGTCACGTTTTTCTTCATATAACCCAGTGTCTCAGATTATTTACTCAGCATACAGACTGAATAAGTATGGTGAAAGAATACAACCTTGTCGCACACCTTTCTTAATTTTAAACCATTCAGTGTTCCCATGTTCTGTTTGAACAACTGCCTCTTGGTCCAGGTACAGATTCCTCATGAGCACAATTAAGTGATCTGGAATACTCATACTTCACAATGTTGTCCATAGCTTGTCATGATCCACAAAATCGAGAGCCTTTGCATAGTCAATAAAGCACAGGTAAACATCTTTCTGATATTCTCTGCTATCAGCCAAGATCCATCAGACATCAGCAGTGATATCCTTTGTTCCACGGCCTCTTCTGAATCCGGCTTGAACCTCCGGAAGTTTTTTGTCAATGTATGATTCTAGCCATTTCTGTATTACCTTTAGCTCCTTTGGCATAGGAACCTATTTAATATAGTTACCCTCTGAAGAAAGGAGCCCTAGTGGAGTAGTGGGGTGAACACTGAGCTGCTAGCCCCATGGTCAGAAGTTCCAATGCACCAGCCACTAAATAGGAGGAAAACAAGCCTTTCTGCTCCCCTAAAGATTTGGTTTCAGAAACCCTATTCAGGGTCACTATGAGTTGGAATAGGCGCCCCGGTAGCATAGTGGTTACTAGTCAGGCTGCTAACCTCAGGGTCAGCAGTTTGAAACCACCAGCAGTTCCACGGGAGAAAGACGAGGCTTTCTGCTCCTGTAAAGATTTACAGTCTTGGAAATCCTATACAGGGTTGCTATGAGTCGGAACCAACTCCACAGCACACCACCACGAGTTGGAAGTGACTCGATGGCACCTAACCACCACACTGAAGAATGAGGAAAGGAGGCATAGAGATGAAACAACTTGCCGGACGTCACACAGCTAGTAAGGGGCAAAGCCTGGAAGCAAGCCCATATGCCTCTGACATGCAGATAAGGGGTGGTCTCGCTCTCGGAGAAGCAGTGAAGGACCACTTTAAGGCACATTAAAACAGAACACTGACAGTCCCTGCCATCAGTATTGCCCTTGTCTGTTGTTAGAGCAACAACCTTTCTTTCATCAAGTGCACTGGGCAGCCCTGATGTACACACGACAAGAAAACAGTCTGCTCTCTGACATCTAGGGCAAAGGCAGGTTCTAAGGCAGAAGGGACAGACCAGGAGGGAGAAGCCGAGGGATGTGAGTGTCAGGCTGAGCCAGAGGGGTGCTCCGGTTAAGCGCCCACCAACCGGAGGTGGGTGGATGCTGCAATCCACAAACTACTGGGGATAGTGGGGGAGGAGGTAGTCGGCTTCCATAAAGCCTTAGGGTTTTGGAATCGCCGCTCAGGGCACTTCCACTGTCCTACTGGGGAGTTAATGGGATTCCGCTTGCTAACACATGACTGCAGAGCTGGAGACTGGACGAGGTTGGGGTTTGGAGGCTGTCGTGCCTGGCAGACTGGAAAAGGCCCATGGGTTTACGGAGTGACTTTGAAGAAGTCATTTCTCATCTCTCTTTCCGGAGGAGCTGCAAACGTTTTCTGGGATTTCTAGAGTTGACGTTTGCGTTCCAAATGCAACGGGGGCGTTGTGAGCGTCGCTTCGCCCCATCGGGACCTCAACTGCCTCCTCTCTTTAGCGGGGTTGTCACTGACAGCGCCCACCCTTCCTTCCAGGGGCTCCCTATGAACGACGGTGCCAAAACCCGACGCAAGAACGCTGGTAGGGTGCAGGGCAAGGCTGGCCTAACTGCCACGCTACCGCAGGCCCCGTTTACCAAAAGCCTGGGGGACCCTCCTTCCCCGATGCACCTGAAGTCGCCCCAGCCCAAGCTGGTGACCTCAGCTTCTCCGGGAAGAAATCGGAGGCCCGAGAGCCTGCGACCTTGGGCAGCTGCCTCCAGGGCCCTGCGTGAGCCGCTGCCTCTCACCAGTAGTCGGCACCTCCCGATACCAGGCACGGTAGAGCTCGCGCACCCTCCGCTTGGCTTCCTTCATGTCCCGGCTGAAGATGGGTTTCACCGAGGTGCTGGCCACCGCAGCGGCCCGGCGAACGCTGCTCGCCGCCATCTTGTAAAAGAAATCACCTCCCAACCCCGCCTCCTTTTGACCCAAAAGGAGACCGAAGGACAACACTCTTTTTCCATTGGCTAAAACGGATCGTCCCGCCCCTAAATTCACGGATGGGCGGGAGGTCGGCTCTGCTGCTCTCTGATTGGCTAGGAAGCTTCAGCTGGGCTGCGACCGCTCGTCCCCAGAAACTCCGGCAGTGTAGTAGAATGCTCTAACAGTTTCTCAGAGAGGTCAGTTGCTAGGAAAGGTAGTCACCTCTGCAACCTCCAGGGGGCGCGCGAGCCCCAACCCAAGCTGGCTGTCGGTCGGAGGGCGGTGCCGTAGGGCCTGGAGCTCCCGCGCGGCCTCCGCAGCGTTAGGTCGCGGAGATCTCCCTTAAATGGGGCTTTGGGTGCGCTGACTTCGAAAGCTTCCTTGGTCATCTCCCCGGGTGCGTGCTGCAGACCCCGAGACGGCAGCTGAGACATACTGACGCCTGGGCCGCCGCCGTGTTGAACCGGCTCCATGGCAGCGTTTCTGCCACTTGTAGTTCTACTAAAACCAAGCTCTCTGATAGCGAGGAACAGACGTGGAAGCGCTTTCCTGCCCTTAGCTGTTGTGCGCGTCTCCACAACCCCGGAAGATTGGGTTTGTGTGGACCCCATTTTAGACGAGGACATTTGCATACCCAACCTAGATCTCTACAAGGCAGTCCAGGATTTTGGAGGTGGAAAAACCTTAGATGGTTAGGTCCAGGTTTCCCTCCTTTTCCTGGCCTTTTTCTATTGAGGTCAGCACCGAACATCGCGAACATCCCGCGTAGCCTGGACGTATGATGGATAAGAACTGCTAACTCATGTTCTGTGTGGACAAAGTACGTGGTCGTTTTCCATCTCATAGCTCGGAAGGTACAGTTAGCACCCCCATTTTGCAGATGAAGAAACAGAAACACAGAAACGAGGTCACTTGCCACATTAGGCTGCTCCCCCTGCCAGGCTCCTAAGCTTTTTCTGAAAATGCATTTGACATGTGAGTGCCAAGCTGACAAAGTGGTTGCAACCATGGGCTCAAACAGCAGCTATTAAGAGGCAGGACTGAGCCATGTTATGAGTCAGAACCTGCTCCTTAGCACCTAACAACAGGTATATTAATTTGTTTTAAGCCTCACAACACACCTGTGAGGCAAGTACTGTTATACCCATTTTACAGATGTAAACACTGAGATACAGAAACTAAGTTACTTGACAGCTAATTTTGAAACCCAGATAGCTGGCTCTGCAGAGTTGCCTGTGCTTTGTCTCACAGCCCCTATATCAGGAGAGCTGTCTGTGGAAGTCTAACCTGGCCCATGACCCTCCAGTCCTGTAGGTCAACACTACCTTGAATTTAGTATCTAACATTCCTTGGCTTTAAAAGAAAATTGGCCTCTAAAACCACCCAGAAATGGGGAGAAAATGTTTGCAAATCACATATCTGGAAGGGACTTGTATCTTTAATAGATAGTTTTTATAACTCAATAATAAAAAGACAAATAGTCCACTTGAAAAGTCAGCAAAGGATTTGAGTAGGTATTTCTCCAAAGACGAAAAACAAATGGCCAGCGAGGACACGAAGAGATCCTCAGCATCATTAGTTGTTACGGGAAATGCAAATCGATACCACACTAAGAGACTAGTTTTCATCCACTAGAATGGAGCCCTGGTGGCGCAGTGGGTTACATGTTGGGCTGCTAACCGCAAGGTCAACAGTTCTAGTCCGCTAGCTACTCCATGGGAGAAACGTGAGACTTTCTGCTCCCATAAAGGTTTGCAGCCTCAAAAACCCTATGGGGTCATTGTGAGTTGGAACTGACACGGCAGCTGCAGCAGAATGGAATTCCTGGTGTGGTGTTGTAGATAAGCACTGGACTGCTAGTGCTTATCCTACAGGCCAACGCTTCAAACCCACCAGCTGCTTCTCAGAAGCCCTATCCAGGGTTGTTATGAGACAGAACTGACTCAATGGCAGTTCACAGCCACAGCAGAGTGACTATAGTGAAAAGACACTAATAAGTGTTGGTGAGAATGTGAAGAAATTGGAGCCTTGGCCCACTGCTGGTGGGAGTGTGAAATGGCACTGTCATTATGGAAAACAGATTAGCAGTTGTTCCTAAAGTTAACCATAGACACTTGCTATGTAATCCAGTAATGCAACTACTGGGTATAGACTCCAGAGAAAGACAAAGATTTGTCCATACAGAAGACGTGTACCCACATGTTCATAGCAGCTTTATTCACAATACCCAAAACTTGGCCATCAACCGAGGAATGGATAAATCAAATGTGGTATACAATGGAACATTACCAGCAAGAAAAACCAGCGAAGCACTGATGCGTGCCGCCACACGGATCAGCCTATGAGTCATGAAAACATTGTGCTCAGTGAAAGGCACAGATGGAAAAGAGTGGATGTTGTATAGTTCCATTTCTATGGCATGTCCACAATAGGCAAATCCATAGAGTTGAGATCATGGTAGAGTCACATGCGGTTGTAAGAAACAATGCGAAGAGCTTGGGTGTATCTTTACCCAGTTTCCCTGATGATAACACCTTCTAAAACTATAGTTGTTGTGAAGTGCTATGGAGTTGGTTCCAACTCATAGCAACCCTGTAGGGTTTCTGAGGCTATAAATCTTTGTGGGAGCAGAAAAACTCATCTTTCTCCTGTAGAGTTGCCGGTGGGCTTGAACCGCCGACCTTGTGATTCTCAGCCCAGTGCTTATCCTACAGAGCCACCTTGCTCCCTAACTCTGTTGTTGTTACATGCTGTAGAGTCGGTTCTGACTCAAAGTGACCCTGTATGGGGTTTCCGAGGAGTGACTGGTGGACCTTCTGAGGACCTTGCAGTTCAAACTGACCTTGGGGCCCAGTGCTTATCCTTCAGCGCCACTCCAGGACTCCCTCCCTGACTATGCGGACAAACAGCTATAGTACAGGATCCAAATCAGGATACTGTTATTAATTTGATCAAGCTCCAGAACATATCACCACAAGCATCCCTCACACTGCCTTTCCTAGTCATACCCACGCCCCCTCCACCCTCCTTAGGTCTTGACAATCACAAATCAAGTCTCTATTTCAAGAATTTTGTCGTTTCAAGAATGTTGTATAAACCAAGTCACACCTTTTGGCATAAGGTTTTTGTTTTGTTTTTATCTCACTAAGCATAATTCTCTTGAGATTCATTCATGTTGCTGAGTTTATTCCTTTTATTCTGAGTAGGTTTAATGATATAGATGCACTACAATTTAACCAGTCAGCATTGAAGGACAGCTGGGTTGTTTTCAGTTTGGGGCTATATGAATAACACTACTGTAAATATTTCTGAACAACTTCATGTGAGCACAAAGTCTTCCTTTCTCTAGAATAGATCCCTAGCAGTGTAATTATGTGGCGCCACAGGATAAGCACTGGACCCCCAAGTTCGGATTGAACCGTAAGATTGGCGGTTCAAACTCACCAGCTGCTCCTTGGAAACCCTAGACAGGGTTGCTGTAAGTCGGAACTGACACCATAGCACTTAACAACAACAGCAACAAAAATGATCCTTTCATGTTTAGCTGCTTAAGAAAGTACCACAATCTCTTCCAAACAGATTGTCCCATTTTGCATTCTTGTCAGCATTTGATTGATCCAGTTTCTGCACATCGTCTCCAGCATTTGACGTGGTACAGTGGGGGTGGGGGTGGGTGCCACCAGGTTGGTTCAGACTCCTAGCGACCTAGTATCCAAAGTTGTAAATCTTTGTTGTTGTTAAGTGCAGTCAAGTCAGTACTGACTCATAGAGACCCTATATAGGGTTTCCAAGGAGTGGCTGGTGGGTTTGAACCACCAACCTGTGGTTAGCAGTTGAGTGCTGATCCTACAGAGAAGAAAGACTCATCATTCTCCTGTGGCGAGGCTAGTAGATTCGAACTCCTGACCTTGCAGTTAGCAGCCCAGCTCACAATCCAGTAGAGGGTCAGCGAAAAAGAGGAAGACCCCCCAAAGATGAGTTGACACAGTGGCAGCAACAATGGACTCAAACATGACATTTGTGAGGATGGCGCAGTCCCGGGCAGTGTTGCATTCATGGGGTTGCTCTGAGTGTTGCATTGTGTCGTGCCTGGGGTCGCTCTGAGTGTTGCATTGTGTCGTGCCTGGGGTCGCTCTGAGTGTTTCATTCTGTTGTTCCTGGGGTCTCTCTGAGTGTTTCATTCTGTCATTCATGGGGTCTCTCTGAGTGTTGCATTGTGTCGTGCCTGGGGTCGCTCTGAGTGTTTCATTCTGTTGTTCATGGGTCGCTCTGAGCAGTGTTTCATTCTATTGTGCTTGGGTTGCTATGAGTTGGAACCGACTCAATGGCACCTAACAACAACAATCCAGAAGATATTTTTCTGTAAGTTTTTCTCTAAAAGTTTTGTAGTTTTACATTCAAGTTTGTGATTCATTTTGAGTTTATTTTTGAATAAGGTGTGAGACATAGAGGTTCATTTTTGCATCTATGGTATCCAATCACTCCACACCATTTGTTGAAAAAAAAACAACAACTCTCTTTCCTCAGTTAAATTGCTTTTGCACCTTTGTATATATATATATATATATGTATCATTTGAACATAGAAGGGGGTTTAAAATGTTTGTGGAAAATTCCATTATCTTTTCATTCCATTTTTTGGTGAAGTTTTTGAAGCCTCCTCGTATGTGGCTGTGTGAGAGCATATGTGCGTATCTATAATCTAGTCCATGAAGATGATTTTATTAGTCCCTCTGCTAATGCCACACAGTCTTGTAGGTTTTGCTTGTTAGTGGTGGTGTTAGGTGTCAACAAGTTGGTTCCAAATCATAGTGGCCATATGCACATCAGAACGAAACACTGCCCTGTCCCATGCCGTCCTCACAATTATTGTTGTGTGTGAACCCATTCTTCTTGTTGTTAGGTGCCATCGAGTCAGTACTGACTCACAGCGACCTTATGTACAGCAGGACAAAACACTGCCCAATCC